GTGGTTGTTGAATTTGATTAGAAGTTAAGTATATGTGAAAATGAGTTAAATGATGAATAATCCGCACGAAAAGTATATGTACTATTGTGAAAATATTTAAATGGAACTAAATCTGAGAAATATAGAATTTTGATGAGATTGTGGAATTATGAGATGTGTGTTTACAATGCAAGAATTATAGCTAGTAAATTGATGTGATTATGATACAGGTATTGTAACACATTAACAGGTATATTCATAATATATGTATCGTAATACATTGAATTATATGGCCGTAATACGTGTATTATAATATGATGATCTGTAAATGATATATGAATTGATGAGAAAGGAATTAGTGTGAATAGCCACAATGATACACTAAGAGTATGGAATAGGGAGCCGACTATGGAAGTCTGGGGCAAACGTAGGTGATGGATGACATTCGCTAAATGTGCACGATTTATAAAGTTGCAAATGTATCATATGGCCACACACGCATTTCCTGACTAACACTCCTGCCTATACTTTTGCTAAGAGGCCCTATAAGTGTATATGTTGTATCTGTATACATGGGTTAACCGACAGCTATTCACCTATTGTGTAAGGCCTCATGAAATGCTAGAGGCAACTATAGAATGTGATCACATTGTATAAGAAATTAGTAAGTTGAAACTGAAAGGAATTGAATATGTTATTGATATGTATAAGAGTGATGAGATAATTGGATCATAATTAATGATGTGAAATTTTATTCAAGTTGATATAAGCATTAGTATGGAATTTGATGCACTTGAACTATAACTGATGACCGGGTATTTTATTAAATCTTATATGAATATGATATGAAAGTTTATAGGGATTAATGTATTTATTTTGCATATGGATTAAAGAATATATTTTCTAATACACAAATTATACTTATTGTTATGTTATAATGATAATAAAGGATCTCGTCTTTACATAATATTTCAAGTAACAGGAATGACGGTTAGGAACAAACTCTTAATGTTTAGGCATGGATCAGAACTGCTCTTAGAAAAAATTTGTTCATGATAATCTTGTAATTAAATATTTTACATTACATATATATATATATATATATATATATATATATATATTTTGGTTAATAGTTTGTATGCCTTTATATACAACTTAATTTTAGTGCCTATGCACTTTATGTTATTCCAATTTGGTAATATTATAAAATTACAATTAGATTTAGATTCTTTTACTGTTCAAATTAATTATAAACATATTTGAAAGAGCAAGATTTAGATTTCTTACATATTGAAATTACTAGTTTTGGTCAAAAACCAATTTATGAATTTGATTTGAAATTTGAAAATATTTAAATTACTATTTGTAATTAAGAAACTGGCTTGTTTAATTGATTTGTTATAAATTATTATTTATTTTTCAGAATTTAAAAAGTAGGATGTTATAATTATTTTCTTGTAAAACAAATTCGTATGTTGGTATTGATGTTCCTGATTTAGTAGTATTATCTATTTATCTTAAATCTACATTTATAGTAGAATTATCTATTGAGTGTCTTGACGGTTTTCTTATTATTTGAGGATTTTGTATTCTTATAGAAGAAGATCTATTCATTCTAAGCTTTATTTTTCCATTAGATTCTTCTATAATATCTCCAATTTCTATATTATTTTTTTAGGATTAATCCATTGGTTTGGTTATACTGCTAATTGGATTAATCCTAAATGAATAAAATTAAATCTATCTTTTTTTATGTTTATGTAATAATGGATCTTTTAATAATTGAATATCTTTCTTACTTTGAGTATCTGGGTAAGAGTATTCTATTTTGTGTATTTGTTCACTATTATTAAAGGAACAAATTTTTTGTTATTGATATACATCTTTTTCTTTAGTAACTGGGATTGACCAATTATGTAAGGACTTTTCAATATCATTTATTGTAATTTGTTGTGGCACTTTTTTTGATATCGAGGCTCCATCTTCATCCATTTCTTTCTTAACAATCTAATTATTTCATTCTAAGTTTAGTTTATTTATAGTTCTCAGTAGATTAGCCATTTTTAAATATCTAACCCTTCATGTGACAGGAATACCCTAGTTGACCAACGGTTTCATAGTTATATACTAGACTTATTACTGGGACGACTACCTGGGCTTCTCAACTCCTAAATAGTTTTCACTGCTACACCTGTATTTAATATATAAAAATAGTGTAATTGGAACCAATTTTTGTAAAAAGAAACATAAAACAAACTAATCTCTCCTCTCTTCCTCCTTTAAATCAAAACTCGTTTAGGCTCTAATACCAATTGGGATCAGATCACACAACATTCTGATTTAATAAAAATAATATTGATAAACAAAGTATTAAAAATAGAATAATAATACAGTGAGAAATAAAATATTGAGAGATAACTTATAGACATAGATCTTGTATTAATATTGATGAGATTGATACAAAATATTGAACGAAAGATTACAAAAGCTTCAGAAAAATTTAGAAAATTCTAAAGGATATTGGACTTGAGAAATTGCTAATCATACTTTATTACTATTATTATTATGAAAATAAGCTGTTAATGACACTACTCAATCTATTGACTATTTCTTAAAAGTTAATATGTAGACTTTGATTTTTATTTAAAAATAAATTATTTAAATACAAATTTGTTGTTTAAGACTAAATGTTATCAATTTAGTTTAGTTATTTTCATATCTATTTTTGCAAATTATTCTTTTAAGCAATTAAAATGAAACAATTATTTTAAAAATATTCCTCACCTTATTTATTTAAATATAAAAATTTAGTATAATTAATTATTGAAGTAATTTATTTTACAACAAATTTAAACACAATGCTATGAAAATATGGTTGAAAATTAAACGTCTTTTAAGGGTGAAATATCCTAAAGAATAAAGTAGGAAAAGGAGTCGGGGGAATGATGATGCCAGTGAGAGAAAAGTATAATGATCTCAAAATAAAAGTGTAGTCTGAAGTTGATATTTATTTTTGTCATTTCGTTTTTTATGGCTATTGGCAGTTAGAGTTAGTGAGAATGTAATAACGTAAATGATAAGTCACTACTTTTCCAATATTCATCAATAATCGAGAGTCGAGTGTGTGTGTGTGCGCCAGCGCTCTTTGATGTTGAAGTTTTCTTAGAGCTTTGTCATCTCTCTCATCTTTACATTAGAGGTAAAGTCCGCTTACATGGTAGGTATAGTTACCAACCAAATCACTACTGATCATTATTAAAGTCCTCCTAATGTAAGCCTATTTTGAATATACATTTCTTCCTACCTAAAAACTATGAAGTAAGAAGTCAGCATATGTAACCGATTAGCAATTCCTAACCAGTAAGTGAAAAGTGAAAAGCCTTTTTTTTAAAGTTGTTATGAATATACTTCTTATAATTTTGAATAATTTTTTTGTTTGTTGACTTCTTAACTGGTGTTTAGCAAAGCCTTAATTGATAAACTCATATCATATTTAAGCGAGCAAACCAACGATGGAAATGGCAATTTGTTATTATGAAGAGAACACAGTCGTATATTAGATTAGTAGGTTTGAATTTGGAGGGTTATCTGTGCCTTTACGTTTTAAGACTTTTCTCATGCAATGCAATGCAATGCTTGGAGGAGATTATTAGGAAGCCATGCCTCTTATTTAACCTGCTGAGGCCACAAGTCACCTCCACCTCAACTTCGTGTGACATTACTCCTAAGACGTCTTAGACTCTGCATTTTGGACAAGCCCACTTTTGGTAACTTCTACGGATGAATTGCCAATCGTCTATTAAAAATAAAGTCACATACATTGCGTCCCTTTACTCCTCAACCCTGTATTAAATTTCAAGAAATGGCAACAACATTTACAAGAAGGCATCTATATACTCTAGAATTCAGAACAAAATGCGAACCAATCATGTAAAATACACAAACTAAAAGACAGGAAATAGTCACTAATAGATTCTAATGCACTCTTAGAATAACATGTTATTACAAAACATTAAAAATGAAAATTTGATTTCACGCTTACATCAGTTGTGTGTGTTGGGTAGAGAAGTTTTTAAGTAGAGAACCTCCATAACAAATAGAATACCACGATATAACTCCAAAACTCTTAAAGATAATAGATATATAGATTTATCTCTTTATAAACTCATTTCATATCCCATATCCCATTCTATGTGTAACTCAATTCACACTTAATTAATAGGATGCACTAGTTTTTTTATACACTTGCGAGGGACGGATTCATGAATCATCTATTGAGACCAAAATTATAAGCTTAGATTTTACTACTATTGTGGTGTTATTGCACAGCCTACCTGTTTTTTTTTATAGTGGGGGTGGGGGTAGCCGAAAAAGATCAACTAATCCTTAACAGAAGTCAACAACCCAGCAGTGGCCAGCACACTATAATTTGGTCACATAATTTTTCAATTTTTGGACCATTCTAATGAATTTATTTACCCAGTTACTCATTCAAATTTGTTTTAGTCACAAGTCACGAACACGGGACAAAAAAAGAAAAAGGTAGTTGAAGCAGGGAATCATTATTTTTACGTGTAAATAAGACCACATGTAGTTTATATTGAAAAGCTAGGAGGACCAAGACCACTCCTCTCCTAAATTCGTTGTCAACACTATTTGTACCACGTCTCAAGTATGAGCAGATGTGTGTTCACCTAACATACAAGCATTATCCTTAAATTAAATCTGTTCTGTGATGCACCAAAAGAAAATCTTTGCAATTAAACTAATTTGATAATAAAGTTAATTCTAAAACTGGTTCGAGTCCAAAAATAGAATTTCCAATTCATTTTTTTACCTGTATCTTTTTCTTTAATAGGTGGAATTTCCTACATCATGGGAAGCAAAGGGTCAAAACTAGAAAAGGGCCCAAACCAAAACTGAGGCCCGAGGATCGAGCCCAGCATCTGGATGACTCTTTAAGTTCAAGAAATGACACGGGTGAGTAAAAGAAAAAAAATATGATCTGGCTGGTTTCATGCTTTAAATTCACACACCAATTCTTTTTTTTCTTTCAACCAAACTTCAGATATAAACGTCTTGCTATAAATACACAGAACCCCACAATTCCATTATCCTAAGATTCCCAACTACTTGATTTCTTTTCATCTCCATTTAGTTAACTTATTGGCTTCCAAATTCTTTTCTAGCTGCCTTCTCCTAGCATTCTTTTTTTACCATTTTATAAACAACCATCCATCGTATCATAGCTAACCAATAACTATACCATGAAGCTCACAGGCTTGTTTCTTCTGGTAACTCTGGCTCTGCTCTTAGCCATTGCTGTCTCATCAGATCCTGACCCTCTCCAAGACCTCTGTGTCGCTGACCTTGCATCAGGTACTCCTTTTACATTACTCTCTTTTTATCCCTTTGAAATTCTATAGGTTACAAAGTAGAGGACTATGCAAACTTTCATGCACAATGCATTCAACAAGAGTAATCTGGAAATGAATCCCCTCTTTTTAACTGTACAATATATTTTTCTATCTCTGAATAATTAGATTCGATTCTTTTTCTTTGCTCTTCTTCCCCCCTTCGGTGTTTGGTTTTCTTTCAACCACGTTAACTCAACATTACTCTCCATGCCACAGTTGCCACTCCCACCAACCACTTTAATTTTGCTTTTTCATGACTCCACTATTTAATCATGTTAAACCTAGTGAAGTTTTCCCACTAATATGATTAACTATTATTTGTCCGTTTCCCATATTTATCAACACCACAGATGAGCAATTACTTTTATTATTTTTATTTTCTATTTCTAGCCATAACTCTTTGCATCTTTGCCCCAGCATGATTGGCAAGAGAAATTCTGTAGGCTAGACACTTCTCATTCTAAGACTAATGATAATAAGTGGTGTGATTGTGATGGAAAACAGGGGTGAAAGTAAATGGATTCACCTGCAAAGACACATCAAAGGTAAATGCCTCAGATTTCTCCTCCAATATACTAGCCAAACCAGGAGCCACCAACAACACCTTTGGCTCCTTGGTGACTGGAGCCAATGTTCAGAAAATCCCAGGTCTCAACACCCTTGGTGTGTCTCTCTCAAGGATTGACTATGCCCCAGGTGGCATCAACCCACCTCACACTCACCCACGTGCCACAGAGATAGTGTTTGTGCTTGAAGGGCAACTAGATGTGGGGTTCATAACCACAGCCAATGTGCTCATATCAAAGACCATTGTCAAAGGTGACATATTTGTGTTCCCAAAAGGCTTGATTCACTTCCAAAAGAACAATGCAAAGGTACCTGCTGCTGTGATTTCAGCCTTCAATAGCCAACTTCCTGGAACACAATCCATTGCTACCACCTTGTTTGCTGCCACTCCACCTGTTCCAGATCATGTGTTGACTAAGACTTTCCAAGTGGGTACCAGGGAGGTTGAGAAAATCAAGTCTAGGCTTGCATCCAAGAAGTAAAAACACCAACCAAGGTGGTTGTTGGGCTGTCTTGTCTCTCGTCAATTGTTCTTTTACCCTCTCTCTTCCCACTTTACAATTCATGTTTGGAATAACTCATAAAGGAGAATGGTGTACATTCATTGTTTAATAATTTAAATTTGAAAGATGATTGCATGTTTGGTAACTAAATCAGCGTTCAACAGTTCTGTTGATTGGTTGTTCATGCCTTGTATCTATTCTCCTGTGAAGGAATAGTATAAGTTACTCCCCTCCAAACTCTCACTTTCTCCTTTTTCTTTTTTCTTCTTTTTCTTTTCTTCTTTCCATTTTACTTTCTTACCTGTAGGCAAATTTTAAATTACTGAACCTTCCTCTTTCAAGAGCCACTAAATTGAATGTCCCAAAAGAGTAAGAATTAGGATGATGCATGGCTTTTTAAGACAAAAAAACATATTATATATAATGACAACTCCACAGCTTCAGTGAGCTAAGCTAGGCAAATGGATCCCTCCAAGACATGCTGGCAATGTTCGGTCAAATAACCTCAATTGCTTACGTTATCCAAACATGATGCACCAAACATTAACCTCGTTTAACTTTGCATCACATAGGAGACAGACTTGTGACAGTAAATGATGGTACGCTGTCAAATTACTTAGTTAATTAATATGTGCATATTTGAATTCGTTTAAATAATTATAAATCTACGTTTAGTTTAACAATAACGTTATAAATTTTACGTTAGATTTATATTCATAAATTATTTAACGTAAATTCAAACATTATACGTTGTTGACAGTGTCCAAAGCCCCATGATTGTAACACCAACAAACCGGTAATCCTCTAATTATTCTGCGTCTGTCATTATCTCAATATAGTGTGGTTCGCGTAAGTATTTTTAATAGATACAAAAAGTATCTTTTTATTGTATTCGGCTCAATCCTTTTTTTTTATATCCTTTATCACATCTAACATTATTCCTTGAATTGTGTATTTACCACATTCATTTTTAAATAATTATTGCTTTAATATGTTAAATTATGTACCACTCTAAATTTACTTTTCACTCTTATTATCATCTCTTAATATTTTATTAAATAAAGAATATTAATAAAATTAAATAAAGAATATTAATAAATTAAATATAACTATATTTCTCTTTAAAAAGTTTTGCTGCCAAGGACTTCTTGAACACACTTTTAATACGTTGCTAGTTATTGTTTAAATTTTTTTTTAAATTACAAAAACAAAAAATATTAAATTAAAAGTAAAAAAAGTAAAACTCATAATTATTATAATTTTCAATAAATTTTAACCAATAACTAAATAAGTTAAAAAGAATATTTTGCTAACATTTCTCTTCTTTAAAATTAAGGATATCATAGTAACTTTTTAAATCCTTGGTAAAGACAAAAAAGTAATTATTTTAAAACCAATATATTTTATGAAATGGCAGCAAATTAAGTAGCGTAGACTGATGGAAGACACAGCCGTGCCGGGTTCTAAAATACCATGCTAATAATTCAGTTCAAAGTCAATGATTCCTTATCGCTTAAACTTGAAGCATTTCCGCTTAAGCAAACACAAAATCAATAAAATTTCCGTCAAAACTATTGCAATTTGTCCCAAAGAAAAACAGAGAGAGAAGACTTTTCCAATTGCCGAGACAAGAATCCAATTATAACAGTTTGCTTATGAACATAAAATGGTAATGATGGTAAACATAAAAAGTAGTTGCACTAGTTAACTTGATATCCCCATTACCAACTGTGCCAAGTGTGAATGTGGGTTATGCTCTAAGCAGTTTGAGAACAAAAATGTTACTTCAAACATGTCTGCTGCCTTCCATCGGGGATTGCAAATAACACTATTGGTTTTGAGGGACGAACAAAGGGCACATCACACCTGAAATATCCCTTTCTCTCCAGCTGCAATACATCTCCACGCTGAATATTTCGCATGTTAGAGTCTCCATAAGCTAGAGTTTCCTTTTTGGTGCATGGGTTAAGTACATCAATGAAATCCTCCCCTTCTTCTAGCTGCAACCAAAGAAGAACATAAACTATTAATAATACAAAATTCTATGGGGTGTGACCGTGATTGAAGATAAAATTGGCTTGTGTTTCACAGGGAAGCAGACATGTTTCATGTTTTCAGAGTAAAAGGAACAAATGAAAAGGCCATTGAACAAAGGATTTGTTATGTAAGCAGGGATATAATAGAATGGTATCAGGATAGAAGATAGAATATAAAACTCAAATTCTTGTAATGTCTCTACTCTAAGCTTCAAAAGTGCATATTGAACACCTGATGTTATAGACAAATAGTTGCTTAGATGCAAGTGCCATTTTATCCTCAATTTAAAGCCAAGGCTGATAGGTGGGGGATGATCCGATTGTGTGCGTGTGGTCATATAAACAAAAGAGTAGATAGAATTACTATATTTTTGTTAAAAGTAGTTCCTAAATTCAGTTTGTTAAAAAACAACAGGCTCAATAAAAGTGGATGAACCCGTACCTTTTTCTTTGTAATTAGATAATCATATTCCATCAATGTCAGGCTAACCAGTTCATCTATGTCAGGTAGCCAAGTGAGTTTCAATTTTGTGGTCTTCACAGATCCTTCAATATGCAAAACACCACTCAACCCTGTGACTTTTCCATCTTGGTCCTTCTCTATTTCCTTCACTATGGCATTTCCCCAATCCATCAATGTTACTTCCTCACCTGCTGATATTGACTCTGCATCAGCATAGTCAATCCATATCCTTTTAGAATATGTTGTAGCTTTATCTCCGGCGGCTTCATATTTCTTGTGCCGTGGTATGATGCGGACAAATGGTTTCTCGGGACCATCAGTGACTGTCAACAACACACGTCTTTCGGCAATGACAGCTGTGTGTCTGGGACAGACAGGGTCAATAATTTTCTTATTTATGGTCCAGAGCTTGTCCCATTCCATGAGATTGAGATTTTTGGATGCCCCCTGTACAAGTATCAGAGTAGAGACATCAACATTGTTAAGCAATGAGTAAACAAGAAGAATGCGCAAAAAGGCTGAAGCACAATAAATGATAATTACAATCTACTTATAATGTCTAACTTTTTAGAGAAAGCAAAATCTTTTACGTACTTGTTCAACAATAAACTGTATCAGTGCCTCAATTTTCAGACCTCTACGCACAATTCCTTGCACTGTAGGAAATCGTGGATCATCCCAGCCATCAACTTTCCCATTTTGGACAAACCATAGAAGCTTCCGTTTGCTGAGAAGAGTGTAGACCATATTCAACCGGCTGAATTCATAGATGAGAACTTTTCTAAGACCCATGTCCTCTTGAATTCTGTAATACTGGGCATTGCGATCATGGTATTCACTAGATCGAAGGGCATGCGTGATGCCTTCCTTGGCATCAACATATGGACAAGCAAAATCATAAGTTGGATACACTTTATACTTGGATCCAATTCTGTGATGAGGAATTGGATTGCAACGATAATAAACAGGATCTCGAAGGGATTTGTTTGGGTCTTGCATATCCAACTTGCCACGGACACAACACTGTAAGCCCCTCTCTGATCCTGCAATCATTTCCTTCCATAATTTTATATTCTCCTCTATACTATTATTTCTGCATCTAGATTCTATGCCATCCATTCTCTCCTTTTGCATTTGTTCACGTGGAGTGTCATCAACATATGCTTTACCCTGGAGAATTAAATTTTCAGCCATTTCCATCAATTCAGGGAAGTAGTCAGATGTGTACGTAATTTTTTCATATTTAATACCCAATGTATCAATGTCTTTCACAAGGTTGTCCACAAATTCGTTGCTTTCTTTAGCAGGATTGGTATCATCAAAACGCACAATAACCTGGCCTAGATATCGCTCAGCGAAATATTTGTTCAACAGAGCGGCTTTTGAGTGTCCAATGTGAAGATAGCCACTTGGTTCAGGTGCAAATCGCAAGCGAACTTTTCCAACTTCAGCATCTGGAAGATCTATTTCTGCCGAAGGTTTGCTTCCTCCTTTGATGTTTTCAGATACATCCCCATTCACACTCTTCACTTTATCAGTGACTACTGACTGGTCTCTTGACTTGGTTGCTGATGGCTCTCCCAATCCTTTTTTTCCAACATAGATTGATGTGACTTCATTTAGAGCAGTACCATGTTCTGTCACTATTGAATTGAACCATCGTACAAGATTCGAATATTTCTTTGACTTCCTTAAACTTTCCCATCTCTTTCCAGTTCCTGCAAAACAAAAGCATATTAGAATCTACAGACTGGGTAATAACAATGGACCTCATTACACGGAATAAAGGTTGATTAACCTATTGGCTGGAAAGTAAACATTATAAGAATAGAAAAAAAGGATAATAGAGTATTTTTGTTGGATATACTACCACATCATTATATAAAATTATTAACCAATATAGAGTTCTTCGTCAAAACAACATAACAAAGCTGCACATCCTACCCGTTGGATCCCACCTAGATTGTTAGATACATACTTTAGATAAGGCAGTAAGGCACAATAAACCTAGTTTGTCATTATGGATACGACAAAGAAATAATCTCAAGTTGCGATCATAAAAATACATAAACACAGGTATTTTCTTTTCTATAGGCAGCATAGGATATATAAAAGTGACCTAGCCGTATCAAGAGACACGCTGAATAGTTATCATAAAATTTTTTCACCTGTAAGACCTGCCCAGATTGCTACATCTGCAATTGATAATGAATAACCAACCACAAATGTACGCTTCCCCAAGTACTCATCTATATATTTGCATCCATTCTCAAAAGCAGGGCCTGATGAGAGGATAGGAGCATACTCCAGCCATTCATCAATCTGAAAAGGAAAAAGGGAAATGAGGAAAAAAGATGATAAAGTAACAACCAGAAGCAAACGGTGACAAATGAATGAACTATTTGGAAGGCAATTTAAAATTTTATTCTCAAGAAACATTATTTATTTGTCATGAAATCATTTCAACCTTTCATTTCACTAAAACATCTTTGAAAACTCTATATACATTATCATATCTTGTTACATTAGGAAAATCACCTGGCCAGATTCAAGTGCATTTTGCCCATAGAAATTGGGAAGGCTGGCAACTCGCCCAATATGACGTAGAAGAACAAACACTCCATGCAATTTTAGCCTGCAAATTAAAGGCATTCATCAACAAATAATAGATAGTATCTATAGTTGCTCTTCTTGTAAGAGAATAGGGGTCTAACAATCATATTGCAAACACGGCCAAGTTCCTAACTTCTTTTTTCCTGCTTTTCATTAGAGCCTTTATTACAATAGAAACAGTTCCTTTAATCTACCAGAATGGGTATCAATACGGAAATGAAAAACATACACATATAAAACTCGAAACCCACATCGCATTACATCATAAAAATACTATATGCTTTGCATGGTTCCAAAATTCTCAATCCAACACAAAACGGGGGCTTAAAAATTCAACCTTTTTTTATAAAAGAATTGGCGACATCAAACGCCGATATGGCACTACAATGTAACTAAGTGTCGGTTAATTTTGAAGTATTTAACCATGCGTTGCGAGCTCTGTTAGACTGAGAAATGAACTTTGGGGAAGAAAACACTGAAGACTTTGGAGAAGTAAGGATAAAAAATGAGATCGGAAGTGTACCCATCCGAGAAGAGAAATGTGGGAGCGGAGTCAGGAGAGAGAGAGGTATCGATCGGGAGAGAGATTCCGGCGAGCTTGGCAGCGGCGATTACCGGTAACGGTGGAGTAGATGCGGCGAAAGAAAAGTTTCTGATGTCCATGCTTTGTTAATTCAACACCGAAGACCCGACCCGACGGACAGCTTTGATGCTTGCTGCTTAGCAGAAACACGGGTTCGTCTAGGTTAAAGTTGTCTAGGCAAAGTTGGTTTTTATCTTCTCTCTTCATTCCAATTTTGACTTTATTTTGTTCCGTTTTATTATCTTTTTGTTTTGGGATTTATAACTAGTTATTTGAAGAGAAGAGGGATTTACCCAAAAAATAAAAATAAAAATAAAAAAAAGTAGGGGGAAGGGGGGGGGGGGCGAAGAAAATTTTTATTTCACAGAATTTAAATGCAACATCAAATGTAATTTAATGTATTTTTTAATTAAAATTAGAGTTTTATTTTAATTATTGTTTACTAATTTTTAATATTAATTTTTATATGAAGGTTAAATTTTGATTGAAAAAGGCATCAAAAACACTTAGGTGACTATACTTTTCTTTTTAAGGCAACATTTTCATCACCTAAATTTTATGTTGCTAGTCAAATATTGCTGCAATACAGGTTCTTTACAAGCTTTCTTTCCTTCTTCTTTGGGGCTAAATTTTAGCGATGTCGATCCTCAGGAGTTGAAAGATGAACTGCACCCAGTTTGGATCCAACGGTTTTTATTAACGAGACATGGTAATTTATAATTTTTTATAAAACAAACTTAATATTTTAATTTTTAAAAGCTAGGATTTCATGCAATTTGAAGAATAACTGCAAAGGATCTCTTAACTCTTTCCAAATGTTAGTGCAGAATATTTAATAATAAAAAACTGGAGGAAAATATGAATCCTGAGGAAAGAACAAACTGTTAGCTATAACTGGGATAAGTTAGTTTCTTGATACTTAACGAGGAGTAGCTATTTTACACGTTTGTTTTCTACAGGAAACCACACTCTGAAACCGATTGATCAAACGCGGTTATAGAGAGAAATCGCAATTACATAAATATTCTTATATCATTAATTTTGCAAGCTTGTAAAATTTGACACTTTTCTAAACATTATTATATTTGTAACATATCCTAATTACGACAGTTATCAATATGAAGAATGAGAAAAGGCTGAGTTTTGATATTTCATTTTGGTCATTTTTGAGAATTGGAATCGTTAGTAGTATACATATCTTCATTACTTACGAAACATTGCTAGCACAGAGAATAAAGCTGTACCAGCAAGAGAATCAATGGTAATGATACAATGGTATTATGAAACAAACAACCTGTAATAAATGTGCAACTCAACAAATTGAAACGCAACTGATACAAGCCAAAATAGTTTGGTAGAAAACTATGGCTAACAAGTGGAGATAAGAACAAAGACAAGTACAGTGCAGAACTCAACGCAATTTAATGTGTTTCTACGGTTTATTTTGTAACAGATGATTCATAATTGCTGGAAGGACAACTAAGGAAAGGCTCGAGGGAGAATATATCAAGGAAATGGGAAGAAGATTAATACATATCTACAACGTACGTTACAAGATGTTACAGAAACGTGAAACAAATTAGAGTTACATTGGATGCAATTATTTTGTCGCTCCATTCTCTTTCTGATGTACAAAACAGTTTTATCATCTTATTCTTTTTCCAAAACTTTTAAGGTTTCATCTTATGGGCTGCAGCAAGTTCAGCAGTGAGGATAAAAGATGATTTGCCTGCTTCCCTTAGGTAACGAACATCTCCATTCATGAGCTTCAGCAGCTTTCTGCTGATGAGCAGGCTAATACCATCCTCGGATTCTAGCCCGTTATTTCCAAACATCTGGTTCAGCAATGCTTCTGGCACCCCACTGCCACCATGTGTTATGCTACATAAATAACAAAATAAGCAGTTATTAGTTTAAGCTAAACTTAGCTGTGAATCAAGGTTATATAATGCAGTGCCGTCTTTCTGTTTTGGAGAAAAATCATACAAGCTTTTTACCTAGCACAAGAGTACGTGTTAATGCAACATCATGCATCAGTTCATGTCACATTTTTTCCTCTCAACATTTAAATCACATATACAGCAGAAATACAAAAAGCAAATTCAGATTAAGTTGATTGAATGAATTTCAAATTCTGAGAATAGAACAGTTACCTGAGCTCCAAATTAACAAGATGGACCGATTTCCCTAACTGTTCTTTGGTTAGAGAGGCTGCTACAACAACCTGACCTCCATTTGGCGTAAAATTGATGGAAATCAACAAAAAGTCGGCCAAGACCTGCTGAAGCCTAAGACTATCACCATATAAAGTTTCCATCAAGATCTGCTCTGCAACATCATTGACTACTCGGATACCCTTTCCGTTACCTTTTGTCATGACTTGACTAAGGGAGGCAACCAGTATATCATGCAGAGTAAATTCAGCCATCTCAAGATCCAAGTAGCTGTTAAACATACAGGAAATAAAGGAATATAGACTGTTACGAAAGACAAAAAGACAAATAATGGCAGAACTGTGTATTTTTGGCCGTGTATTCATAATTGCACTCACACTCAAATCTAGTACTACAGATTGGCTTTAAAAGCACCATGTGAATGAAAAGTAAGCATCCACATCGTATGGCATATTGGCATTCTCATTCCTATTTCACTTAAAAGCACATCAAATTGGTCAACTCCACCTAACATTCCCCTCCCCTCTCAAAAAAGTTCCCAGTGCTTCAGATTCGGGGGAGAACAATTGCTTGTGTCAGAAAAACAAAACTGTGCTTTTACAGGAATTAATTATTTGTTATAAGAATCAGATTCTCAAAATTCTGGAGATAAACTCAGCAAAGTATTTGCTAAACAAATAGGAGAGTCAAAGTCTTAAGTTATCCAGCTTTTCTTGCTTGATAAGAGTATGCAGACAAAAATCACGTAGATTTTTTTTACCTAAAACTATAGACTACAACTTCTAAAGGACACTCAATATCAAGTGTGTTATACTTGTCAATTTTTTGGGAGGTTGAGACCGAGCATAAGTTTAACATTCTAGTCTTGAGTTTCAATTAGGTTTCAAAAAGAAACTTCAATGTTTTAATAAGAGTTCCAATTGATAAATGCTTCACACCAGATGAATGTAAAGAATAAAAGAAAGAGAAGAATAAACAAAATTCACAGATATCCTACCCATCTATGATGCTGTCAAGATCTGAGTCGTCAAGAATTTTGCTAAGTTGGCGCTGGCACTGAGCACTAGTGCGTAGAAGTTGTTTTTGTTCTGTTCCCAGGTCAGTAGCCTCCAACATTTTCCGGGAAAACACTATTCCACATAAAGGATTTCTGATCTGCCTTTTCATGTAAGTTAATGCTTTCAGTCTCTTCAAGGCAGTTTGTTCAGACAGGCGCTGAATATGTAATGCTTGTTGCAGCTCTGGGCTAGCGAGCTGTAAGAAGCAGAAGACCCCAGTAACTACGCCCTCTATGTCCAATTTCTTACTCACAGAAAGCAGGCATTCTACATACTTGCCATTCCGAGCAAAGAAACCAAAGGCAACCTTCTCTGTTTCTAAACCAGTCATGGCTTTATTGAGTACAATGCCAAAATTAACAAAAGCTTCTTGATGTTTTAGACGACAACAAGCTATCTGGGTGCCAAAAACCTCTCCTAGAAGCATTTTATCCATCACCTCCTCTCGCTTCCATCCAGTTAGCTTTGTCATAGCAGGATTCCACTCACAACACCAGCCAAATTCATCTGTACCAAATATAGGGGGGATTAATGGATTGGGGTTTTGTACGATTGCCTTGTAATCACCTTCAATTCGCGTGAATTTGTCCATGACTGTCTTCTGAGCAGTTATATCGTGGGCCACAAAACAAACCCCCACAACATTATCCCGAAGATCCCTGCTCGCACAAGCATTAACTACTAAACTAATGGGACCAGAATCCATCTTAGACCCATGAGTTTTGATCTCAAATTGGACGTTCTTCTCTTCTTCACCTAATTAAGAGAACAAAACAAGTTAGAAATATGGAAAGCAGATTGGAAGAATATAATCCCATCGTAAAGTGCACCTACTCCTCTCACCAAGACCCCCCAAAAAAAGTGACCACACAACTCCTAGGGTATTCCATTCCTTCTCAAGTATTTTAGGGGCACAAAATTGAATGAAACTGTTAACAAGATATACTTTTGTTCTCAATTCTTCATCAATGCAATATTCATGGGTGGCTTTCGAGAGTATAATATGCTTGGTTTCTTACAGATAAATAGGCATAGACATACACTATTATGAATGATACAGCTTGAAAAACAAAGAGCAGAAAAGCTTATATAGAGGGGTATAAGATGTAGCATACCCTGCAGTGCCAAGTCAAGCATCTTCTTGACTCTATCAGCTGAAGAATCCTCAACAAGTGTAAGTAAATGCTTTCCAATAGCTTCACCGACTGGAAGACCTGTCAACTCAGCAATTTTTATATTCCACCCATTGACCAGACCATCAACATCAACTGCCAAAATAGGGACTGTTGCTGTTTCAATCAACCTAACCATCTCACTTGTTACTGCTTCCAGTTCCTGCATCCCTTCAATCTTCAAATCACTTAGTCTTGTATTGATTGCATTGGTGTTTAAATCCGTACCCTCTGTATCCTTGAACGCATTTCTCAGTATTAACTGCAATGAATGAATAGCATCCATTTCATAGTCCTTCCACGGTAGGCTCCTTGCTTTCACAACTTCAAGGAAAGCCTTGAATGATGATCGTGGATGCATCTTCCTACCATCATCCCTTTCACCAGGTTCATGCTTGGCACCACCCCATCGGATTTCTGCTGCAGTGTGCGACCGAAACCAAAACACTATGTCTTTGGAAGTTATTCTTACAGCTGCCATTCCACATACAATATCACCCAGAGAAAGAGCCCCTGGGAACCCTGCATCAGACAAGCTATCTGTACTCAAGCCTGTAGAATCCATATGGTACTCGGACAACCATAAAGCTATCTCTCTTATCTGGGATTCACTTGGTGTCACTCCTAATCTCCATACCTTGTTTTTATACAAGAGGGAAGCCCCATCACATTTCACTAGATCCATTATATTTGGGCTCTGTGATACAATTCCTAGGGGTGCATCTCGCATCAGCATATCACACAAGAGGGTCTGCGTGCGCAGGATATTCTTCTCAATAATCTGATATTCTAACTCTATTTCTTTGTTCACATGGATGGCAAAAACTTGAGCCAGAAATTCACAAGCATACCTTAGAGGAAAGGGAACAAACCTGGGAGTAGTGTTATGGCAAACTACCAAACCCCAGAGTCTCTTTCTCTTTTGTGGCTGAACAGCATCAGAGCTATCCCCATCTTCTTCATTGTCATTGACTACAACTGCCATAACAAGTGAAGCAATTGAATCCATGTTCGCCATGTATTGCAAATGGCAACTATGAGGAGCCCTTAAGGTTGAACCACACAAAGTCAAATCAAATGGAAGTTTTTCTTCTTGAAGAACCTTCACGTGTTTTGCATGACAATCAACTATCATACGGACCTTGTTCTTCATAAACAAGAAGCGTGCAGCCTGGGGAATATCAGTGGCTGGATAGTGCAAACCCAGATATGGCTCAAGGCCTGGCTTTGTTATCTCAGCAATCACCTCCCCGTGATCATCCTCATGAAATTTATAAGCCATCACCCTGTCATAGCCTGTGAGCTCAAAAACTTCTTGAACCATTGTATCACAGAGCCTTTCCATGCTCCCACTAGGCAAGGACTGCAATCGGGTAATTGCTTTGGCAGCAAGCTTGTAAGATTGCAGGGCACCTGCTGCCGTCATGGGAACTTCATAAGGCTTGACCGGCTCAAAATCAATGATCAAACTACCAGTAACGCGATGGATAATTGCATAAAAGGGCTTCCCAGAGGTCTTGCAATGAACGAGGATGGGATTAAGAAGTGAAACCTCAGCAAATCCCAGTGCCTTCTGCAATGCAGAAGCACTTGGCGCAGTGAAGAGAGCTCTAATGTCAGTGCCAATGCCAAGGGCAGGGTGGTCACCAACACTGGGGACAGCATGACTCACCATGGTCAGCATTTCAGGTGCATTCTCACTGTATGCAATAACCTTGCACGTTTTCTCATCTAAAGCCAGCAAGCACCCAAAAGGCTGGATCAGCTTGCCCCTTTGTATATGATGGAGGTATGCCGTTGTTACTTTATCAGACCTTGGTTGATGGTTGCCATCAGCAGTAGCAGGACCAGAGATACGCACTGAACTGGAATAGTCAAATGAACTACCAGACTCCTCAAAAGTTGCATGAAGTTTTGCATCTACAGTTGTCTGAGCAATAATCCTAGCACTATGCCTTGATCTCCCTGAATTGCTGGACGATTGGCTAGGCCTTGAGGAAGACATTTTCACCCAAACTGCACGTAGAATGATAAAATTAAGATGAATAAGCTAATCTGGAACACATTACAACTCATAAGTAAGTCTAATTGTTAATCTACTTGTAAAATTCAAAAAGAGACGAAGACATCAATCAGTAATAATTTAATTTATTATCGCCCAATCATAGAAAACCAACAGTCCACACACCTCCAGTGAATAATTAATACCATAACTGTTCTGCCCTTATGCAAATTCAGCACAACGAGGACACAACAATACCCGCACACAATCACGCAACTAGAAAATTGGCGATAATTATTCCTAATTTAAAAAATAATCGAATACAAGGAACAATGATGAGGCGAGACACGAGAGAAGCAATTAAAGTAGCAACATGACTAAAGAAGAGCATATTTCCCCACGAAGAAACAAACACACATCAGAAACATTAAAAGCAGGAAATCCAACACGAAGAGAACAGCACAGCAAAGAAATAACTAACTACCTACCTAACAAGAAGAGAAGGAAAAGAGAGAGTAGAAAAGAAAGGAACCTGGAAAGGCAAAAGGCAATGAGGAAGAGAAAGAAGAGAACAGAAGGAAAGGGTTAAAATAAAGAAGAGGAAGAGGTGTAGGCGTGGGTGTGGGGTGCTGCGACTACACCCATCTCTGGATCACAGAACCCTCCCTTCCCTTCCCAACTCACCACTCTGCACACACAACTGTTACAAGGGACGGGACCGCCATGCCATTAGGATATCATTTTTATAGTTCCCACCCACTTCAAGCACCATGTGAGAATAGACTGCCATGGAATGAAATAACTATATAATATCATTTTATGCAATCAAACAAATCAACCTCCAACAGTTAAACGCTCCCCCGATATTTATCACACCCTCAAATCCCATAAATAAATTTCATTCTTTTATTGCTTCAATATTTTCTTAAATACCATGTTTTCTTTACACAAGCCAACCACTTGAATCAGACTATAACTTAAATATAATAAAAAATTATAAATTAGAAATGAGAAAAATAGATTTATTAATTATATTTTAAAAAAAAATTTAACTTTCAATCTTTTAATTAGTATCTTAGCACATGCTATAAATTACATTACAAATTATAAAAAGAAGTATACTAATAATATTTTTAAATAAAAATGATTTGTTTTAAATGGTCTAAACATTTGTCTAAATAATTTATTAAAAAAGAAATAAAATATAGCATTATTGTATTTAAATTCGTGAAAACATGGTGGTGAAATTCAAAGACGAGATTCTGTCTGATTCGGGCACCAATCGATGTAGTATTTAAAAGAAAGCTAAATTGGGGAAGTGGGTTTGGGTTTGTCGGGTTCTAAAATGGACACTTGTTGATGGTAGATGGGTTGGGTTTTAGTTTACTACGCTTATTGCCTCCTTCCTTCCGTTCATCATCATCTCCAACGCTCACTTTCCATTTTGGTTTTGATGACGGCTCCCCGTTTAACCAAATTATCCAAACCCATTCTCGTTAACCAAACTCTAATCATTATTTTATTTCTCTCTTGGTCCCTTTCCAATTTTAAATTATTTTAATTAGGTTTTCTTATTGATTGCTGTGTCCTAGCTCCCTTCAATTATTGATTGACGATAATAATAAACAAATACACCATTAACTAGAAAAGAGTGGAAGTAGAAAGAACCAGAAAATATTTTCTTTTAAGTTGATTTTAGTTTATCAAAATATATTAAATTTTATTTTAGTTGTTGTAATTTTAAAAATTAATTTTGGTTTTAATTAATATTAAATGATAACATAACTAATTTAAATGTTAGTGCATGTTCATTTTTTGTGCTAAGTGTCATTTTTATTGTATCTTAAACACATGCTGATTTTTCTCATATAATAATATATTTTTAAAGACTTTATTAACTTTGATAGCCTTAAAATTAAATTTAATAATAAAAAAGTATAATAAAATTTGTACTTAAATTAATCTTAAAAATGAAAATTAATATATTTTGAATTATAATTGTTGGGTTGATTTTGATTGGGTAGCCGCCCATGCATTGGATTTGGAGAAGGGGAATAATAGGAACAAGAAAGTGAGTTATGGGTGTCACGTGCAGCCCTGGAACGAGTGTCTTTGCTGCGGCATGAAAACTGGGAGTGTAAGACTAAAAAGTAACAATGCAATGCTTGCCATATCATCATCCTCATATCTTGCTTTTAATTTATGGCATCCCAACTCATAACTGACACAAACCACCAAATTAGCCCATGCCGGGTCGCACTGGAATCTGTAATGTCACTGGACCAAATCCCTCTGTAGGGTCGCTCCTGCACTCAATTCTTTTATATTTAGTCAATTTCCTCATACCATAAAAAAAAGTCAATTTCCCACCCTTTAAGGTTTCTTATTTTATTGATTTCTATTCATGGTTATTAATTTGGTTTCGATATAGATTATGTTTTCTTTTTTTCTGCATGTTAATATCTTTATTTATTTATTTATTGTTATTGTTTTGTAAAATTAATTAATAATAATAATTTATTTTTAATGGATATAAAATTGGAAATCAAATAACATTATTTCATAAAATTGGAAATATTGATTATTTTTAATTCTTTTATAATATTTCAAACATTTTAAAAATATAAAAATTATTTATATATTATTTTACTTAGCACTAAAAAAAATAATTTTCAACCGCGTTTTATTAACTACAATTTATATAATTGTAGAGAAGACTAAAAATGTCATCAATTTAGTTAACTATAATAAAAAAGATTAATACTACTTACAGTTTACGTATAATTGTAGTTGAATACTAATAATTACTATAAGTTTTTTTGAAAAAGTTAGTAAAGAAAAAATTAAAAAAAATATTTCTTTTCTTTTTGCTTTCTCTTTTTTCTTTAACTTTTAATTATATTCTCTCTTTGTAGGTAATATTTTTTTATAAGATAAATAATTTGATTTGAATGGTTATTAAGAAAGAAATAATCACCTAAAATAGAAAGTAACCATGTATTAAAGGAACATGCTTAATTGGAAGAAGTGAATCAAATTAGTTAGTAATTAATTAATATTTAATTAAGAAAGCACAAAGTAGTTAAAGTTAGAAAACTTATTGAATAAGATATCTAGCAAGTTAAGGACAAATCTATTAGTTTGTTAACATGGAGAGAGAGGAAACAATTCAATTGAATTTAAATTCAACTTAAGCAAAGTGAGTGATGTGAAGCAAGAGTCCAAACAAATTGAAACTTGAACTTAGCAAGTGAAAATTGTGACATTCCTGTTTTTATATTTATAATTGCATTATTATGATAAATATGCATGTGAGGGGGATGTTAGAAGAATTTTGAAGATACAACCGTAAGGCAACAAAACCTTAGCTCTATGAAGCTTTCTCGCTGTAGCAAAAGAAGTTGATACGATTGTCTCACCTATAGTGAGAAGGGTGAAAAGTGTAGAAAATAGAATGCAAATTTTGTCTCATATCTTTGCTGTAGTGAGAGACATCTTGCTATAGCGACAGTCTCTCATTATAGCAAGAAATGAATTGTTGTAGCGATAATATTACAAGTAATCTCTCGCTGTAGCGAGAATATCGTAAATCTGAGGGATATTTAAGAGTTTTTCTGCATGGAAACTATACATTCTCAACCCATTTCACGTTCTCTCTCTCAAAACTCCTCTTCTTTTACTCATATTAAACCCCTCCAAATGCTGATTATCCTTTGAATCTAGGATTACACGATTATTCTACACGATCCTAAGTAAGTTTTCCTAAGTTTAATCATGTTTTTATTGTTCATTTTTTTTAATCTTGTTCTTAAGGAATAAATTTATGTTTTTTAGGTAGAAGTGCCATTTTAAAACATCATTAATATCTGTTTAGATCTTCATTATAAGGTAAAGGGAGCTCTGTTTTACCAATATGTTATAGGTTATATGTGACACGCTTACTACTTATTATGCCATCAATATAAATATAATATTAAAATAATCCAAGCAGTAAGAAAGCCACATGTATGAGTTTACATTTGTTCACATTAATAGAAACTAAATACACCATCTGCATCAGTTATCCAAATACGTATATAGCAATCATCTGTCAAAATATACAGTCATCCAGTCATATAAACATATACACAGCTGATTTACATACAAAATAAAGTGGGGTCACGATATCAGAGACAACAACAACAAAAATGACCTCACAAGCTTTCCCCATAGACCCATGATTATCAAAAATACCATTTCTTCCAAAAGTTAACAGTACTCTAGGAGTAAATGGAAAAGTGAGTCTCATGGGTACCCTGATGGAGATGGGGTATGCCCGTGGGCCTGGTCCATTTCTATCTAACAAAAAGGTAATAGTGCCAGTATGGGTGGACTGTTGTCATTCCCAATCGTGCGCCCATCTTCCTTCAGGATCATATCTGACTGTGACGCTGAACTGGTATGGTGGTCAGGCCATTTGTGTCCTCACCTACTAAACATATTCACATACAACACACATAGCAACTAAAAGGGTGAGACAAACCCATTTCAACCAAAGTACAGTAGAAAACACGTCAAGATATTTACAATCATTATAGCAATTAGCAACAACTCAATACACAATGTACATGCCATGTATGATTCTGTGCATCACCTAGTTAATTGCTATACTGACATATACATGTGGGCCCAAACCATTTTCTTTTTCTTTTTCTCTATCTTTCTTTCTGGGAAGGATCAGGAGTTCACTATCACTAACCATTCTTGGTTATAACCATCTCATTAGATAGTTTCAAAGATATAGCTCAACTGATTCTGATAATCCATCGGGTTCTGTCAGGATAGTCCAGTTTTGCAGTGAGAACCGACAGCACAGGGTTGCGAGCCCTGGCCTTTGCCCGGCTTAATCACACCCAACTATCCCCAAGACTAACCTGGAGTCTCCCCTAGATTTCATATACTTCCCATCCAACACCATCATCATTACATGCTTATGATGCATGAACCTAATTTCAGTCTTTTAATTAGGTATTAAACATTTCTTTTTAATCAACAACATATATTTCAAAATTTCACCGACAATCCGGCAGAGTTTCCTCTATAATTCAGATATTTCTAAATTTTCTTCTCTCTGCAAAATAGCCAGAAAATTCCAATACATTTCAAATTTTAAACAAAGTCTCACCACCACCACATTTCACAACTTTTCTTTCATTTCAATGGCTCTCAAATACCTTTTTTCAATTATCACCACATTTCAAAATATCCATTTAAAATAATACTTTAAAATGAATTAAAATCCTTTAAATTATTTAAATATGTATATAGGTATATTTTAAATATATAAAAACTATTAAATAAATTTTGATCAAACCACTTAAAATTAAAGAAGATTTTTTTTAAATATCTTTATTTCGCAATTCTCCAATTCTTTTCAACTTTCAACAGACCTTCTATATGCTCACTCCACATGAATGATAGTTCATTCCTCAAGTATTTTAGGTAATCAATTATTTATACTGAATTCAACAAACAATTATCATAGAAACATCATCACACATAAAATCAATTTCAAAAAGGAATATCAAACAATTGTACACTAAGTATGGAAATAATTATAAATTCCTTCAAATAATTCATATATACATAGCAAGGAATAAAACACCCATCTCCCAACGTTTTTCTACTATACCCGTGAAAATTGATATGTCCCCCCTTACCTTGAAGTGTATACCGATTTTTTTTCTCACCAACGACTTCTTTCCACCACTTCTCAAACCACGATCCTAGCCAAATAATCACACATAATCATGATCAATGTTAAGAGGCATTAATCACCCAACCCACTACTAGTGAGTTGAAACTATCATTTTCTAATCTTCGCAAAAATGGCTTACGGGTCTTACAATT